GGAGAGAGAGAGAGAGAGGGAGGGATAACTGTTTCTTTCGATTAAAATTTTTTTTCACCACAAACGAATTGACTCGCAATTTGAAACTACTTCCTTGCCTTCGTCTTTCGTACGATACAATTTTATATAGATCTCTTCTTCGTAAACTCGCGTGCGAACGTTGATGCACGTTTCAAAAAGTAGAACTGGCAGAATTCTTTTCCGTTCGATTCCATTCGATCGAGTCGAAATAAATAAATAAACGGCGAATAAATCTAACGAGAATTTCGCTCCTTTTTTCAACTCTTTTTCTACCCGTTTTTCTGGGAGAGAAACGGTTCGAACGTTAAATATAATAAATAGTTTCAAAATAGTGGAATTTTTGATTTGTTAAAATCGAAAACAAAAGATGGATGGAATCGACGTGTTTCAGGGATCCGAACGGGGCGAGCCCCCTCACATCGGGATCGGACGGGCTCCCGACCAGCCCTCCTTTCTGGGATTCGTACGACTCGATAAATCAGCTGTACCTGGAGGCCGGTCGCAGCACGGAAATGCGGTCGCATTACAGGGGCCACAAGATGTCCCTGTGGTTGAATCTGTTGCCGCAGCTCCATCGGCCGGGCTACGAGATCAGCATGCGTCACCATCACCTGGCCGAGAGCACGACCCTCTACGAAGGCGTGGTGCGGCCCCAGACCTTGGCTCAACCGTTGCCACCGCCCCCGCTCCCGGTTCCCTCGCCCACCGAGCCATCCTCCATCTCGAGCGTGGTGTCCACCACCGAGTGTACCCCGAACGCGACCGTCGCCACCACCGTGGCGACGACCACCACCCACGCCTCCAACGCCCACCCGAATCTGGGCCCAGGGCCCAACAACATCCTCAAGAAGCTTGCCTCGAATCATTACCAGAACTACACCACCGCCCTCTCGGTCACGATCGGTGTCGGCGTGTTCCTCCTCGTGCTCAACATCATGATATTCGCGGGTATCTACTATCAGAGGGACAGGAACACGTCCTCGTCGAGGTCGTCCGCCTCGGCTTTCGGCAACAAGAAGAAGGAAGAGTTGTTGGAGGCCGGTTGCTCGGGCATCGAGCCGCCCACGGCCAAGCAGAGGCTGTCCACGTTGAACTTGATGGGCTCCCCGTCCTCCAGCCCCCCGCCGCACAAGGCGAAACTCGCCCAGGAGTTGGAGTTGCAGTTGCAGGAGTTCCAATGCTCGCCGCCTCCAGGCGGCGGCAAGAGGGGGGTGTTGGAGCCGCCCCTCTACACGAGGAGCCCCTGCGTGCAGAGGACACGGACCCCGTCGCCTTGCGTGGACGCGACCACGGCCAGGATGGACGACGACGACGACGACGACGAGGACGAGGACGAGGACGAGGACGAGGACGACGAGGAGGACGGGGACGAGGTGAACGACAACGGGGGAGTTAACAGCAGCGACGAGAACGACGACGAGAATCTTCCTGAACCCCCGCCGCCCCCCAAGGTGCCGGCACCCAATGTGAACCTGTCCTGTCCAGGTATCCTCAGGCAACCGGGGACGCCTGGCAGCGCCAAGAAACGGGTTCAGATACAGGAGATTTCCGTCTGAGAAGATCCATCTTTTCTTTCTTCTTCCCCCTACTCTCGATTTCGACGAATTCCCCCCATCCTCCTCGCTTTCTCAGGGATCGAAACGAACGGATCCCCGAGAACTCGATCGTCGCTACTGCTGGCGGTAGTCCATCTGATGACGAGAATCGCCACGCCCCTCCCCATCCACCCCCGTGGACGAGAAGAGATTTCTTTTTTTTTTTTTCTCTCTCTCTCCCGGAGGATAGGCCTAGTTCCACGGATCGATGAAGTTTTCGAAGCGGGAGGAGTGCGAATCGAGCGAAGATAAACGAAGACGGGAGTAAAAGTAAGAACGAAGGAAGTAAGAGCACAAATCGATGGCCTTAAAGAAGGGAGAATCGGTGGGAAACGAAGGGAGAAGAAGGCGGTCGTCGGAGTCGGCCAACCTCGGTCAAACGTCCGAGTTTCGACGCGTGAATATTTTCCAATATTTCTTACCAACCCGAATAGAAAACGAAAAGAAAAAAAAAAGAAAGAAAAAAAGAAAAAAATAAGAAAAACCAAAAAAAGAAGCGACGGCAAAAGGAGAAGAAGAGAGAGAGAGAGAGAGAGAGAAAGAGAGGGGGAGCCTCCTCTTATCGGAGCGAATGTTCGATTTTATCGACCGATATTTCGTACAGAGTTAAATTGAACGGTCCTTGCTCGAATTCTTTTTCACGGCGAGAGGAGCGTGTGTTCGCCTTATCGAGTTCCGTAACATCCTTGCTTGAACACGGAGAAAAAAGAAGGAAGAAAGAAGAGTGAAAGTTTCGTGGCAAGAGAGAAGAAAGGGGAGAAGGATACAGAGGGTCGCGAGAGAGAGAGAGAGAGAGAGTCGTCGAGCATCGGTCGATGTGAAACGAGGGGATTGATATAATCTCAGGAACTGAAAAGACAAGGCGCGCGCCGAAGAGAGACCCGGCAGGATGCCTCGGGCTTCCTTTATCCGGATTTGTCGGAGCACTAAGTGGAATTATTCGAGGAATTGGAGGGTCTCACCTCGACTTTTTGGCTCTCGTGACTTTTTTTTCGCGAGAGAGAGAGAGAGAGTATGCGTGTGTGCGTGAGCGTGTATACGAGAGGAATTGGACACCTGATCGAACGATATAGCTTCGCAGGCTGAGCACATTGAGAGGAGCCTAATGCGAATCGAATAGTTCTCGTCGATATAATCGCGTGTGTTCTTTTAGTTACGAGAGATGAGAGAGAAAAGTGTGCGAGAAGTTGGAGAGACGAGTGGAACGAATGTTGAGAGGGAATGTTTGCTAAGAATGATCGAGGGATATATATATATCGTTGTAAATCGTACGAGGAAATGTTGGAAACGGTGTGAAGGATCCATCCTGAATATTTTTTTCGTTCCTCGTGGAGGGTGCTTCCCACAAGGACGTGCTTCCTGTTCAATTTTCGTGAGTTTGTGTGACACGTCTGTTAATATATATATATATACGTATATGTTTTCGCGTTTTGTTTTTTTTTCTTCTAGCATAAAGTGTTTAACGTGTTTAAATTGTTCGTTATCGAAGTTAATCATGTACAGTGGACGAGTGGACAAGTTAATTTATCGTTGAAAGAGTAACGAAGATACGAAGAACGTCGTGATGCGATTTTGCGATTTCTCTGCAAATGAATAATTACGAAGTGAGCGTTATCACGTCCAGAAGATTTATCGATCTATTTATTTTTACTTCAATTTCGTTCGCAGGATTACGGATACGACTTTGAAGATTCGTGAACAGTTCTCTCATTGTTCGGGATGCAATTTATATTTTTCGTCTCTTTTTCATTGAATCAAATTTCAAATCATCGACGTAATTTATGAATCGTGCGCAAAATCGGCTCGAATATCTAATTTCTTTGAACATGGTGCTCGTTAATTAATACGAAACGCGGCCAGGTGAGAGATTTTTGCGCGAAAATGAAGTAAGAAAATTAGTCATAGGCAAATGGAATTTCGAATCGGTAATTTTGAGAATGTCGCGTTCTTGTTTCGAGTGTGTACCTACCCTACCGTTCCTGTTGACAAACGTCGGTGTTTACGAGCGAGCAACGTTCCTCACTGTTCCCCATTGCCTCTCGAACAATTGGCCTTGATTACGTTCCGTTGAATACCGGAATCAAGTTAGATTCGTCGAGTCGATAACAAAAACACCCGCGCGTCTATTTATTTTCTAAAACAGTTTCTCGATCATATTCGAAAATTCCTTTCCAACTGTTTCTAATCAACGAGATGTGCGATTTAAACGTAAATGAACAAGTAATTTTATAATTTTTAAAACGATTTCAAATTTAGTCCTGTATTAAGTAGTAATAGGACGTGAAAGTGACGACGCATTAACTGTTTGCACGCGAAATTAAAATAAAAAGTCGAACGATATCTTTATTTTTCTTTACTCTTGATATTTCAATCTTTAATTTACGATACGAAAACTTGTCTTCGATCGGAATCGATGCTCGTCCGCACAAGGTTATAATATCAGGAACGTAAGTTTCCACGTACTTTTTTTTTTTTCTTTCTTTCTTTCTTACGACGTATTTAAGGAATCTGAAACGATTCCTCTTCCATCAACGCACGGGAGAGAGACGAGAAAACGGCGACGATAAAAGAAAAAAAAAGATGGGCCAACCGTAAACTCTAACCTGATTTAGCTCGATCGAGGCGACGAAACGTTCGTGCGTCTTTGGAACGATTCTATCGATCCTCGAATCTCTGGAACGAGGAAGGGGCGAAGAGGAGAGAGAGAGAGAGAGAGAGTAGTTCGCGTGTACGAGTATTTGCGCATGTGTGAGTTG